ATGATGTTTAACAGAGCAAGGAAATGTCTGATAATATTTTTTCTTCTGGAGAAAGTCTTATTTGGTTTATTTCAGCAAGAATAAAAGAAGTTTCTAATTTTTTAAACACCATTTTAAGGTCAATATTATTAGCCCCTTTAAGCTGTATTTTTTCGATAGTCTACAAAACAAACCATCATTATACAATGACTTGCCTAATTACCCTCACCCCTTTAAATTGAAAAAAAAAAATCTATGACATCATATATCACGTGTTCTGACCTTAAGCCGGTCTTTAGGTAAAGCCGCGGCTCCTTTCTTGATGACCTCTTGAACTCTTTCCACTGACAGGTCACTTCCTGCCTGCTCCAAACGCTGACTGAAGAATCCAATCACCTGCACACACACACATTATACACACAGGTTATGCACAAAATACACACACAAAAATGCACACACACACAGACCAACACCCTTGCACAGCAATGCACACACACACAAACACATTTCACACACAAAACAGGGTCATTAGTGTTATCTAAAATTAAATATTTGTATTTTTTTGAAAAAATATAAATCTGAAATAATATAATATAATAATAAAAAAAATCTAATTTTATTTAATTATAAAAAATATCTGACAAAAAACAAAAACAACCTAAAAAATGTATTTAAAAAAATAAAAATATAAAAACTATACAGAAGAAAAACAACAACAAAGCGACCAAAACTGTAAATAAATTATAGCTAAAAATAAAAAGGTTCAGATTTTTAATAGAAAACTCACATTAAAATATCAAAATTTAAGACAATTGCTCACAAATGACTGCATTTACTGCATCCAGCATATTCAATATTTACTAGTAGATTTTTAGATAGTAATTTTTACTCTACACATTAGTGATGCGTGGATGGCGGTTACATCCGCAGGCGCTGCGGATAATCCGTGGGCCGGGTAATACAAAAATACATTATGATTAATAATGCGGGTCGGTTACTGGTGGATGTAGCGGGACATGGCAGTGGACCAGCAAAAAAGCCGAGAGTGGGCTTTGCAGAATGGGAAGATGAGACGCCCAAAACAATAGATGAAGTGCAAGAGTAGCCTACTGTTCAAAGATTCAGTTAGAGGAGTCATCAGAGGAAAATCTGCTATCATTCTGGGAGAAACAAGATCGCCTATTTCCACGACTGCAGCGCCTGCGAGGAGAATCTAGTTCATTCCTACAACAAACGGTGAAAGTGAACGTTCATTCAGTGCAGCTGGACGCGTTTTGGACATGAGGCGGAATCGCTCGAATCCAGGCACAGTAGATGCTGTTCTGCTTTTGCAAAGTGCGAAGAAAAAGGCCAAGTAAACACAACAGCTGCCGTTTAGGCTGAAGTGGTTTTTGTTATCTTTTTATGTCTTATTTTGACTTTCTGTATTTGAAAATAAAGGAAAAGGTTGACAAACTTTTGTTTATATAAATAAATGTTCATTTACAAACGTTTAAGATTTGCGTATTATTTTACTATCAGAGATGCGCAGATTATAGCTCACTGAATCTGCTGTCAATATCCACGGTGACCTATCATCATGCCTAAAACAAAGAATTCAATTATTAAAGTGATGATCGGGTGCGAATATATATATCAGATAAAAAAATATGTGCAGGTAGGTGGATGATTAGTATGAAGCTGCGGATTCGGTTGTCATTTCAGCTGATCTGCGCATCTCTGCACGTACATTACATAAATAAACATACATTAATTTTCATACTTTTAAAATTAGATTAAGATATACAATTTGTTTAGGAGGTTTGATAACTAAACATTTTATTATTTGGTTTCTCATATATTTAATCAAATGTAACGTTTCTAGTCATGTAACCTGTTACAAACTCTTTTGCATTTGTAATAAATTAATCTACTTTAACCTAATCATAATGTTTATATGAAATATATCATTTTAATCAAATATTTAATTTCATTTAATTCATTTATTTTCCTTCGGCTTAGTCCCTTTATTCATCAAGAGCATACCTGTTAACCCTCCCTTTTTTCCCGGGATTCTCCCGTATTTTACTGTTCTCTCACTCAATAACATCCCGTAAAGGTATTTCCACGTATTTCTCCCGTATTTTCAGTCTTTCTCTGAACAGCCGAGCCTCCCTTTACGCAACCCATACCACCGAACCACCAGGGGTCGCCCCTTGCTCTAAAACGTGAGTCTTCTGCGCTTTCGCTTTTAGGAATGAAAACACTTATAAATAAATATTAAAAACTGCACGCTTCCATTTCCTTTTGATTAGGTGCCGTCGCCCATCCTATACAATCCTCAAAACAGTCATATAGCAGTGCGTGACTGTCAGCTGACGCGTTCCATAGTGATAAACAGATGCTGTTCCCCAAACGGATTCTGTACACGCTATTTGAAGCGGAGAGAAAGTCTGGCTTTTGGGTGCGAGTTTAAACAGACATACACACATAATTAATAATAATAACATATAAGGATGTCGATCTTGTTGTTTTTTTCCCCCGAACACAACTAATTTCGTCTTAAATGAGCATAAAAAGTTAGGAAAGCAGTCGAATGCTTTCATTATTACGTCTGCATTTTTAAAGTGACACCTCTGTTATTTTATGTAATAAAAAAACTCTTAATAAATGAGAGATTCATTCGTTGCTCTTCAATCAGAATGTGTAAGTTATACAGTGGAGAAACGGCTAATGAGATTGACAGCTTGATTCTATTTCATTATAATTATTAATTTTAATAACTGAAGTTTGCTAATTTTGCTAATGTATATATATATTTTTTGTTAATAATAATAATAATAATAATAATAATAATAATAATAATAATAATAATAATAAAACATATTACTGACCATTAAACTGTTTATTTACAATGAAACAGCACCAAGTGAACATATTTAGTAATTTTGGGATTTTTTAGGGGGTGGGGGGAGGGGGGTGTTGGGGGAATCCCTTATTATGGCGGGCATATCCCTTATTTTCACATCACAATGTTGACAGGTATGATCAAGAATCGCCACAGCGGAATGAACCGTCAATTTATCCAGCATATGTTTTACACAGCAGATGCCCTTCCAGCTGCAACCCAGTACTGGGAAACATCCATACACACTAATTCTCACACACTCATACACTACGGCCAATTTAGTTTGGCCAATTTAGTTTATCCAATTCCCCTATAGCGCATGTCTTTGGACAACCGGAGCACCTGGAGAAAACCCACACCAACATGGGGAGAACATGCAAACTCTACACAGAAATGCCAACTGACCCAGCAAGGACTCGAACCAGCAACCTTCTTGTTATTTAATTTCAATGTACAATATTTACAATCCTAAAATATCTCAGCTTGGACTATTAGAATCTAAAGCATTTGCGAAATATACTGTTTTTAATTTAGATTTATTTTTGACCACTAGATGTGAATTAGCATCAAATCCTCACTGTCTGTTTCCCGATTAGTGTGTCCGTCCGATTAGTATGCAGTGTGCAGTCCACTAGTGCTCCACTGACTCTGTGCTGAATTATTAAAGCACTGAGGTGTGTTTTATTCTGTGTTTAAGCTTGCTGTGAGTCACACAGCATTAATGCAGCAGCCGGTGTGTTTTAAAGTGTGTATTTTACTCCCTGACGTCTGTAGATGTAGAATTGCCCACAATCCCCCTTGGGCTCCTACAGCTCAATTTAAATGCAGTGTAAATCTCGCTTCATCTCTATCAATGTTTGCACTGAGGGTGTTATTTTGAATCGAGTTTTTTCCTGTCTAAAGCAATGAATATATATTAAAATCTTATTCAAATTGTGTTAGAAAGTATATACAAATACACAAACAGAGATATTGATTAAAATGGTATAGATATAGATAGATAGATAGATAGATAGATAGATAGATAGATAGATAGATAGATAGATAGATAGATAGATAGATAGATAGATAGATAGATAGATAGATAGATAGATAGATAGATAGATAGATAGATAGATAGATAGATAGATAGATAGATAGATAGATAGATAGATAGATAGATAGATAGATATACAGGCAGAGAGACAGAGATGGACAGATAGACAGAAACACTACCTGACAAAAGTCTTGTCGTCTATCCAAGTTTTAGGAATAGCCAATAATAACTTGACTTCTAGTTGATCATTTGGTACCAGAAGTGGCTTATATGAAAAGCGAAGGCCTCTAGATTACACTTATTTGACCAAAATAAAATATGATCATGCCTTGATTTAGAATAATTTCATTAGGACAGTAAGGTCTGACTCTGCTAAGACTAAAGTCTTATCACTGAACAGAAATAATGTCCAGTATAGAATATAAAGTCCTGCTGCAGTGGAGACAGAATGAATATTGTGTCTGACTCCATCATGAGCTTGGAGGACTGCATCATACATCTCTGCACTGACTCACATCACTGATTAATAAAGTTATCTGGAATGGCAAAGAAAGCGTTCCTGCAGGACTCCCAGAGCTCATAAAGAGTCTTTGGATTCATCTTCAATGCCTCCTCCTTCATCTTACCCCAGACATGCTCAATAATGTTCATGTCTGGTGACTGGGCTGACCAATCCTGGAGCACCTTGATCTTCTATGCTCTCAGGAGCTTTGATGTGGAGGCTGAAGTATGAAAAGGAGCGCTATCCTGCTGGAGAATTCACCCTCTCCTGTGGTTTGTAATGTAATGGGCAGCACAAATGTCTTGATACCTCAGGCTGTTGATGTTGCCATCCACTCACCTCATACTGAATGTGACCCCAAACCATGACTTTTCCTTCACCAACCTTGACTGATTTCTGTGAGAATCTAGGCTCATGCTGGTTCCAATAGGTCTTGTGCAGTATTTGTGACGATTGGGATGCAGCTCAACAGATGATCCATCAGAAATATCTACCTTCTGACACTTTTCCAAATGATCAACTAGAAGTCAAGTTATTATTTGCTGAGATCGACAACAAGACTTATATCAGGTAGTGTAGCAATATATAAACTGGTATAAAATTCAGAAATATATAACTTCCATAAATTAAAATGTTTATGTAATACAACTTTATTTGATGTTATTTTGAATGATTAAATATATCAAAATAGTGAATGTTATCGATGATTATATTTTTTATATTTTTAAACATATGCTATATAAACACTTCGCATATTAATTACAAATGGTTCTTTTATACAGAATTTGTCTAAATTAAAATAACACGTTATATATAAAATTTTATTTAACTGATAATTAAAAGATTTACTTCTTATAAAAAATTATTTAAAAATTCTGTTATAAAATCTAAAACATAAATAATAATAATAATAACTATTATTATTAACTGAATTATTATATTATGAATAAATAGGTTTACATTTAATGTTTCTATAAATATATTTTAAAATACTATTATAAACAATTTTATACTTATAACTAAAATATTTTTGCATCCGAAACAGATGCCAGATCCACCTCAGCTGACTTCTCTCAATGTGGAGGAGTAGCGGCTCTACTCCGAGAGACAGCGCTCCTTACCCTATCGATAAGAGTGTGCCCTGCCACCCTGCCAAAGAAACTCATTCAGCCGCTTGTATCCAAGATCTTGTCCTTTCAGTCATGACCCAAAGCTCATGACCGTAGGTGAAAGTAGGAACGTAGATTGACTGGTAAATTGAGAGGTCTGCCTTTCGGCTCAGCTCCTTCTTTACCACAACAGACCAATACAGCGACCACATTACTGCTGCCGCTGCACCAATCCGCCTGTCAATCTCAAGCTCCATCCTTTCTTCACTTGTGAACAAAACCGTATGAAAACGCCTGGTGGCTGGGTTTTTTCCTACAGATCAGGGCCGGGCTTAAGCCTGGTTTATACTTCTGCATAAAGTGACCGGCGTAACTCAAGGTGGATGCAACGCGCGTAGCTGTGCATTTATACTTCTGCCCGCTGTCTCTGTTGTTGTGCAATAACACTTCCGAAGCGCTAGTTGGCAGTGAGGTGTAAATGTTCCTCTGTGTCGAGTTTCTTCGCTGCTGTTTTGTTTTTCCTGAATGCTTCCTTAATGTACAAGTGGCTCAAACTCGCTCATTTTGAGGCAGTAACCGGTGGACATGTAACAACTTTAACCATGAGGTAAACACAAAACAAAACTTTCCATCCAGTGCTCCTTCACGGGACTCCACACTTGTAAACAATCGCTCCATCGTGCTCGCACCATTCACGCGGCTCTCGGTCCCACCCAGACTCGTCAGCACTACCAAGCTGACAAATCAAAGAGCTTGCGCTACGCATCATTGCGACAAGTCGTTACATTTTTTGAGAGGTACACGTTGGCGACGCCGACAGCCACGGTGTAGGACTTTGTGTCAACGCGTAGGGTGCGCCAAAGCAAATGCATACGCTTGACGCAGAAGTATAAATCAGCTTTTAGCCCGAAGAAGCGATGTGAAACCATCTTCCTGCAGGCTCACCGGTGCTTGTTGAACAGGTGGTGGTCGATGGTCGACAACCCAATCGTCAGGCACAAAAACTGGCTCTTGGGACATGTTTTTCTTATAATTTTAGAACAAATATTGTTACAACTTAAAAAAATATTATTAATTGCAGATACATTATTAATAAAATGTTTTCATATAATTGAAAAACAAATATTATTATAATTAAAATGATTATTATTAATTGCAGATACATTATTAATAAAATGTTTTCATATAATTGAAGAACAAATATTATAACAATTAAAATGATTATTATTAATTGCAGATGCATTATTAATAAAATGTTTTAATATAATTGAAGAACAAATATTATAACAATTAAAATTATTATTATTAATTGCAGATGCATTATTAATAAAATGTTTTCATATAATTGAAGAACAAATATTATAACAATTAAAATGATTATTATTAATTGCAGATGCATTATTAATAAAATGTTTTAATATAATTGAAGAACAAATATTATAACAATTAAAATTATTATTATTAATTGCAGATGCATTATTAATAAAATGTTTTCATATAATTGAAGAACAAATATTATAACAATTAAAATGATTATTATTAATTGCAGATGCATTATTAATAAAATGTTTTCATATAATTTTAGAAGAAATATTATTACAATATAAAATGATTATTATTAATTGCAGATACAGTTTTGATAAACTGTTTTCATAAAATCGTAGAACAAATATTATAACAATTAAAATAATTATTAATTGCAGATGCATTATTAATAAAATGCTTTCACATAATTGTAGAAAAAATATTATAACAATTAAAATGATTATTATTATTGCAAATACATTATAAACAAAATGCTTTCACATAATTGTAGAACAAATATTATAACAATTACAATTATTATAATATTAATATATTGTTATATAGAATTATCAGTTGTATAGTTACATTATTAATCAAATGTTTTTCATCATTTTAAAATAAATAGGATTACATTTAAACTCACTATTATTTGTACAACTACATTATGAATCAAATAATTTAACACACAAAACCAATAAGCATGTAGAGTATCTGCAGCGCACCGTGTCGAGGTTCTGCATGATGTCCTGGAAGGAGGGATGTGACCTGAACTGCTCGAACAGCTCTCGTTTATACAGCAGTGCGTACAGCAGGTTTGGGTTGTGATGAAGAGAGTTACTCAGACATGAGTTAATGATCTCCAGCATCATCCGGATCACCTCCTCGATCACGTTCAGATCCTGAGCCTGAACACAAACAAACAGAGAAGACGCAGTCAGAAAAGGACTCATAAATACATTATGTGTCTGCATTCATAAACCTTTCTAGACAGCCTTGTTTGGCATGGCAGGTGTGTTCATTCATTCATTCATTCATTCATTCATTCATTCATTTTCTTGTCGGCTTAGTTCCTTTATTAATCCGGGGTCGCCACAGTAGAATGAACCACTAACTTATCCAGCACGTTTTTACGCAGCGGATGCCCTTCCAGCTGCAACTAATCTCTGGGAAGCATCCACACAAACACACACACTCGTATACTACGGACAATTTAGCCTACCCAATTCACCTGTACCGCATGTCTTTGGACTGTGGGGGAAACCGGAGCACCCGGAGGAAACCCATGCGAACGCAGGGAGAACATGCAAATTCCACACAGAAACGCCAACTGACCCAGCCGAGGTTCGAACCAGCGACCTTCTTGCAGTGAGGCGACAGCACTACCTACTGCGCCACTGCTTCGCCCAGGTGTGTTCAATTGATACGAATAACTGTATTCATATACTGATATTATCCAACATGTCACTATTTTGCAAACAAAAACTTGTCTTTACTAGCCTATAACTCAAACACTTCTGCCTCATGTCCAACAAAAGGCCCCTGTTTTCTACAGGATGACCAACCACGTGCAAAAAGAAGCAACACATAAAAATTTCTGATAATAACATCAGTCAGTCTGCACAGAAACTTGGCCTTGGGCATCAGAGGACATTTCAGAACGACAACGACCCAAAACACACAGCAAAAAGGGGTGAAGAAATTGTCAGCATTCAAAAACATGAACGTTTTGCAGTGGCCTGGCCAGAGACCAGACATAAACCCAATTAAAAATCTGTAGAGGGAGCTAAGGATCAGGGTGACGGTAAGGAAACCCTCCAGCCTGAAAGAGTTGGAGCTCATTGCTAAAAATGAATGAGCAGAAATCAAAAAGCTGATCAGCAATTATAGGTAAAAATAGCCAATAAAGGCTTTTCTATTGATTATAGCAGGGGTGTCCAAACTCAGTCTTGGAGGGCCGGTGTCCTGCAAAGTTTAGTTCCAAACCCAATCAGACACACCTGGGCTAGCTAATCAAGGTCTTACTAGGCTTTCTAGAAACATCCTTGCAAGTGTGTTTAGGGAAGTTTCACTTAAAGTCTGCAGGACACCGGACCTCCAAGACTGAGTTTGGACACCCCTGGATTGTAGAGAAGGGTTTGAATAGTTATGGGCATGCACTGAAAAAAATGTTGCATGCAGAACTGTTGCAAACAATTTATTTGTGTAGAATTTAAACAAATAAATTAAATTGAATTATGTTTAACTTAATTTTTTTGTTTAAATTCAACACAAACAAATTGTTTACAACCACTGAACGTAAAAAAATCGAGTAAATCCAAGGAATCATCTTTGAATAATTTTTTTCAGTGTGGAACTTTTTGTTCAAAGGTAAATAATAAAAGGAGATACATATTTTTTTCCCTGCAATGATGCCTTTTGTAGTATATCGTCTTATTATTTTTGGGAGAAGCCTTTGTTATTTTCGTTGTTTAAAAAAAAACAAACTTACTGGTTGAACAAAATTAACTTTAAGTCACTATAATATACACCACCTGACAAAAGTCTTGTCATCTATCCAAGTTTTAGGAACAACAAATAATAAGTTGACTTCTAGTTGATCATTTGGTATTAGAAGTGGCTTAAATGAAAGGCAAAGGCCTCTGGATTACGCTTATTTGACCACAATAAAATATGATCATGTCTTGATTTAGAATGATTTCATTAGGACAGAAATGGTCTGAAGGTCTATCACTGAACAGAATTAATGTCCAGTATAGAATATAAAGTCCTGCTGCAGTGGAGACAGAATGAATATTGTGTCTGACTCCATCATGAGCTTGGAGGACTGCATCATACATCTCTGCACTGACTCACATCAGTGATTAATAAAGTCATCTGGAATGGCAAAGAAAGCGTTCTTGCAGGACTCAAAGAGTTCATCAGGATTCTTTGTGTTCATCTTCAATGCCTCCTCCTTCATCTTACCCCAGACATGCTCATTATATCTTTGCTTTCAGGAGCTTTGATGTGGAGGCTGAAGTATGATAAGGAGCGCTATCCTGCTGGAGAATTCACCCTCTCCTGTGGTTTGTAATGTAATGGGCAGCACAAATGTCTTGACACCTCAGGCTGTTGATGTTGATCATCCACTCTGCAGATCTCTCACAGGCCCCCATACTGAATGTACCATGATTTTTCCTTCACCAAACTTGACTGATTTCTGTGCGAATCTTGGCTCCATGTGGGTTCCAGTAGATCTTCTGCAGTATTGGTGATGATTGGGATGCAGATCAACAGATGATCCATCAGAAATATCCACCTTCTGCCACTTTTCCAAATGATCAAGACAAAGATTTTTATACTGTACCTGTAATCAACCTATCAATTTAGCATTCAAACACAAGAATTAATAACATCTTTAAATATATTGAAATAAAGGGCATCAATATTTCAGTTCTGACCATATTTTAGATGAAACAAACACAGCATTGATGAGTGTGAAAGAGTGATGCAAAGAACACTAATCTCCTCTTCATCCCTGATCAGACGCTCTGCTGATGGCCAAACACACTGTCTAGGAAAGAGGCCAGCAGTGTGTGTGTGTGTGTGTGTGTGTGTGTGTGGGTTAAATGGGTTATCATTTCCCTGTGCTCTGCAGTCTGGCCCGTCACTCTTTTTCTGGGTCACACACACATAAAACAGTGTTGACACAAACGCATGGCCTTCATCCGTCTCTACACACACTTCTACATTTCAGCCAGCATATTTCAGCATGTTTGATAATAGACCCGAGGAGACGTATAGGTGTGTGTGTGTGTGTCTGGACATCTACTGTACATAAGCAGTTTGTTTGATGTGAAAACTGAGCTTAAAAAGATGTTAAGACGTGGCGAACTGCAAACAAGACGTTTCTTTACTTAAAGTCCACAAGAACTGAAAGTTGCTGAGACCTTTATTTTCTTTTTATTTTCCGTCTTTCGGATGAGATGTTAAACCGAGGTCCCGACTCTCTGTGGTCTTTAAAAATCCCAGGATGTCCACCGAAAAAAAGAGTAGGGGTTTCACCCCGACATCCTGGCCCAATTGGCCCACTGGCCTCTGTCTATCATGGCCTCCTAACCATCCCCATATCATAATTGGCTTCATCACTCTGTCTCCTCTCCACCAATCAGCTGGTGTGTGGTGTGCGGTCTGGCGCAAAATAGCTGCCGTCACGTCATCCAGGTGAATGCTGCACACTGGTGGTGGATGAGTAGATTCCCCCCTATGTGTAAAGCACTTTGAGTGCTCAGAAAAGCGCTATATAAATGTAAGGAATTATTATTATTATTATTAGTAGTATGTTGATGTACTGGGGATGCGGTGGCACAGTGGGTAGCACGTTTACCTCACAGCAAGAAGATCGCTAGTTCGAGCCTTGGCTGGGTCAGTTAGCATTTCTGTGTGGGTTGGGATAGTATGGAAAAAGCAAATAAAAAAACATAGTGATTTCCAAATTTACTTTGATTTGCTTTTCATTGCAGACAGTATAACATTATATAATGATTTTCCTCATTATTTTTATTGTTTTGTTTCTTTCAAAATGAACACGTATTCCGATTTTATTTCTTGCAACACACGTAGAGCTTGTAATCAGGTAATCTGGTCCAAAAAATGATGTGATTTGGAACAGCTGATGTCAACAGGTGTAATTATGATTTGGTACAAAAGCAAAATCTAACAAAGGTCTAGTCCTTTGGGAGCAAAGATGGGCCGAGGATCGCCAGTTTGCAAACAAATACGTGAGAAAATCATTGAAATGTCTGAAAACAATGTTCCTCAAAGAAAGAGAGGAAGGCATTTGGATATTTCACCTTCAACAGTGCAGAACATCATTAAAAGATTCAATGAATCTGAAGGAATTTCAGTGTGTAAAGGACAAGGGTGCAAACCTAAGCTGAACAACCGTGATCTCTGATCCCTCAGGAGGCGCTGCATCAAGAATACTCATTCATCTTCAAGTGATATCACCACGTGGGCTCAGAACTACTGCGGCAAACCTTTGTCAAGTACCACAAGACGTAGTTACAACCACAAATGCCAGTTAAAACTGTACTGTGCCAAAAGGAAGCCATATGTTAACAGTGTCCAAAAGCACTGTCGACTTCTCTGGGCTCGGAGGCATCTGGGATGGACCATCACACAGTGGAATCGTGTACTGTGGTCAGATGAATCAATTTTTCAGGTATTTTTTGGGGAGAAATGGACGCCCAGTTCTCCAAACCAAAGAAGAAAAGGACCATCCAGACTGTCCAGCAACAAGTCCAAAAGCCAGGGTCTGTCATGGTATGGGGTTGTGTCAGTGGCCTTGGCAAAGGTAACATGCACTTCTGTGATGTCACTATTAATGCTGAAAGGTAAACAGAGATATATAACAACAGGCTGCCTTCTGTTTCAAGGACCCCCATGCATATTTCAACAAGTCAATGCAAAACTACATTCTCCACACATTACAAAGTCCTGGCTGAGGAGGAAAATGATACAGGTACTTGACTGGCCTGCCTGTAGTCCTGACCCGTCTCAGACAGAGAACGTGTGGTGCATTTAAAGCACAAAATGCAACAACAGAGACCCCATGCTGTTGCGAAGATTTAGGCCCCGTTCACACTAGTGCGTTTTAGTTTTAAAACGACATTTTAGGTCAAAAACGATCCGCGTCCACACTAGCGTTTCACCTAGCGTTTCTGAACATATCTCCGTCCACACTACGCCACCAAAAACGTATATCACGTGACCATTCGCGCACTCTGGGCATGCGTGCTCTAGTATAAACAGGAAGCATGTGTCTCGCTCAGCATTTGGTTATTGTTATTCAACAATCTCCGGTTGAACAATGAACTAGATGGCAAAGAAAGCAACAGAGGTATTTTTGTGGACAGACGACGAG